TTTTCAACTTAGAATTTTTAAATTAGTAACAGATGTGCTGATTCTGTTGACTAAAACCAAGTATATTTTGAATAAAAAGTTTTAAAACTTTTGCTGATTATTGAACCACATGTGCTAGCTTTTGTTATTAGCCTTCATCATAAATAGTGTCTTTTACTGCAGATATCTTGCTGAAGCCAGTGAGTTTTAATCTTGAAGTGGTAATTATGGCAAGGGGCTGCAGCAGAGTGATTGTACAACAAATCTTTCTTTCTACATACTGAATTGGATTGCAATCCCAGTATGACATAGTCAAAATGTTCAGATAAGTTTTGGTAATATATATTTATCATCTCCATTTACACCAAAATTGCAAAGCAGGTAAGGAAAACAAATTCCATACCTTATATACTGGTTATGGTTATTCCATACATTGTATGTTGATAATGACGATGCACTGGCACAGCACATATAGAAGTCTTATGCAGCAAAGCTCCCAGGAAACTTTCTATCTATCTGCTACACAAGCATTTGAGGGTCTTGATAGCTTCAAGGCAGGAAGAAAGGCTTGTGGTTGAAAAGATCAAGGAGAATCAAATGCCAATTAAGGGAACATTATTCTGAGGTTTCAGTTGCAGCTATGAGGCTGAATTAGTAGCAGAGCTGTTTTACATCTTTCACATATTTTGGGTGCTAGAATCCTTCCTTTTCTGTTCCTGAACTGTCTTCACTGCTGTCATTTCTTTAATTGTAAGTCTCATCCTTTCTCCATGCTTTTTTATTGACACATACATGATAAAACACATATTGACACACACGCATGATAAAACAAAGATACTTGTATCATCTTTCATTCTCCTTTATCTGTTGAATTTTTTTAGTAATAGTGTCAGCAAATGATTTCTTATATGGGCCTTTAAATTATCAAACATTGAGAATTTATAAATAATGTAGACTATAATGCTTCTGTCTAGGTAATGCTTCTGTCTTGGGTGACAAAAGGAAACACAACAGTGAAACATAAAAGACAAGAACAAGTCATTTTTGTAGGTACAATTCCTGATTTATAAGAACATTCACTAAGGGAGATTACAGTTATGCATAATTAAGTGAAGCTCAAAATGTATTCTTCCAACCAAACTGAAAATAGTGATAGCATGTTTTATGGCAAATATGAAACATGGATGAAAAAAATACAGAGCAAAGTGCATTTTGCTATTGTGAAAATACCTCCAACTTTCACTCAAGATATTTCACGTATTTTAGATTTTTCACAGTTTGATTTTATTTATGAAATATTTTAATTTTCTTGAGACAATTACACAGTCCACACATTCAGGCTATAGATGAATGAAGTGGAACTAAATTAGGTTGTTGACAAAAAGAGCTCTTTTCTCCAAAGTGAAGCCTGCTCTGTTCTTCAATACCCCTGCACTGATTTGCTATGTATTTTTTGTAAATAGGAATAAAATAAATGTAAAATCGGTTTCTGTTGATGAAACTGAAGTAGTTCCCTTTTTTTTTTCTTGGAACAGGAGAGATGTCACTTGGGTGTCAGGAGGCTTTCGAAGTTTTCAAGCGGGACCATGCTGACAGTATAACCATTGAGGACAACAAACAGCTTCTAAAACAGAGGTGAGTCTCACAGCAAGATGCAGCTGGACTCAGGAATCTGCAAGTTTGTTCTGTGTGTGGGTAAAAATGTGTAACTTTGCAAAAGACATTCCAAGGTTCTAGAGAAAACTTGGTTCAGAAGTGTGACCTTTTTCATAATGGGGACATGTCTCACTCAGAAAACATTGAGTGTTGACAGAATGAAAATGAATAGAATATGAAAATGGCATGTTCTTAATGCATCTTTCTTCTGTTTTTACTATTCTTATCTTCTTAGACCTTCTGTAGAAGCAATGTGGTAAATGGCATTTGTGATCATGAATTATGTAGAGGAAGTTAGATTCATGTGGCTAAATTGATTACTGTAATTTCCACTGTTGAAAACACTTTATCAGCTTCAACACTGAACTGGACAATAAACTAAGAGATGTGTAACATATGCTTTTGTCTTTTGTTACAAACTTCTTTGCCAAGCAAAGTTTTTCTCCACCAGTTTTGCACTCTAAAATGACAGCAGTACTCTCCTACTCTGCATTTATTGTTAATACTGACAAAGAACTTCCGAATATTCTGGTGAAGATGATGAGATGATGATAAAAACATTAAAATATGAATGTTTGGAAAGCCAGTCTTGAGCATCTCAGGAATTATGGCACCAACATTTGTCTGTGTCACTTGGCTAACAGTACTGTTAAACAGAGTTAGTTTTGCAAGCATCAGCCCTCCTTGTACTGTGGGAGAATTAGAGAATTTTGAGACTTGAGATAAGAGAAGCCAACATTTGGGACATAGGGGAAACTTACAATTCCCCTAACTGCAACTAACTCCCCTTTCTGGTTTAAGAATATGTAGATGGAGATTGGCAGAAGCCACAAAGTTTAAAACAAGATTTGCTTTCCTGAAAGGACAGAGGTTCAGATCCGCATTTTGGATAACCCCTGTCTAATATGCAGCAGCTGATTGCTGGAATGAATGCTTTGTGAATGTTGATACCCTGGAGCAAGAAACTTTCCCCCTGATACTTGCAGTGGATTTTGCCGAAGATGCCTCTAGCTCCGAGTTTACTGCATTCATGAAAATGGATTTATATCAAGTCCACTCTGTAATTTGAAATGCAACCTCTGAACTACCAGTTGCATAAAAACTCAGTTACTCAGCCAGTGTTCAAATTGCACAGTAAGAAATATGTAGACACCAGATGTTTAAAGGATCCCATAAATTCCCTTTGTAGGCCTCTCATGTTAATTTTTTTGTTTATAGTTCATGCATAGCCTTTTTATGGAGAGGTCCCTATTCATATAGGAGGCATACAACTTCTTTACAGCTAACAATATAATTGTTGTCTCATTTTTATTAGCAACAAGATCTAGATTTATTAATTAGAGGCTAGATTTTTTAATTAGAGGAATATCAGAAATAACCTTTTCTTTTCTTTCAATAGCGTTGTCATATGTCTTTGTCTTGTTTATTTTGCTTGACTGTGATTCATAGTCACAGATGGAATTTGTTGTGCTGTCATAAATTACTACCAAATTTTAGTTTATGTTATTATGCCAGTTTGTAAGCTGTGCTGTTTGAGAAACAGATGTGTGGCCCATCCAACTGTTTCTGTTTTGAAGGCAGCAACCTATGAGTAAGGCCTGCATAGGCAACTGGCTTCAAGTTCCAATCTATCCATAACCGTGAATCAGAGTCAATAGTCAATAATTTTGCCTGAGTAACTTCTAAGTAATCGATGAGCTTAAATTAGCCCATGGGAGCCAGGGGAGAGAAAGAGAGAGATACTTTGGGATTTTTCCCTTAGATCTGTAAACAATCTCTAAGAGACCTTTTGGGGTGCTGTAAATCACCACCAGTGGAAAAAAACATATTCAGAAAAGTCTCGTGGACTCTTCAAAGATTTGTGCCTTTCTTGTATAGTCAGTGGTAAGCATAGGGGAATCTCCCAGCTAGGACCATTTACAGCTGTTGAATTCAACCATGAAAACAAGTGAGAGTCCAACTCCGACTTTTAAAGGGAAACGGACTCAACTGAGAAGGGGCGGTTTTCCAAACCCCACCTCCCCAGGGGAAAGCCACATTTCTTAACTCTGTTTTGATGTAATTTGAATTAGACAGAAACACAATTTGTGGATTTCCTCAGCTACTTTGCCTAGACCAACACTAGTCCAGATCGACTGAAGGATTATTTAACAATTATGTTTTGCTTCCACACTCGACAAGGTTCAACTTGTACACATCTGAGTAACCATTCAAAGTTTCTTATCATGTCCAATGCCCCACCACAAGTCATGAGGCAGCAAATCATCCTTCTCATATTTATTTACATACTAGAGTATTACAATGAAAATTTTCTTAGAGACACCTCAGTTCTCTCAGATACTTTTCAGAATTTGCCATTGTACTTTGAGTTAATTATTTCTATTATTACAGCAGAATACCTATAGCATTTGAAAATCTGTTGTGTATTCCATTTGCCCTAAACAGCTTTGTATAGTACCAACTTAAAATGGTGCAGGGCAATAATTATGTCAGCAACTAATGTACAAGATTAGAAAATGATAGAAAATGCATGAAAGGAGAAGGGATCGAGTTCTAGCAGGATATAGGGAATGTAGAGAATATAGTGGATTTTAAGATTCTGAGGAAAGCTGGGGTTTTTTAGCAACTATGTTGCATACTAGGGAACGAGATATGGAGGAAGCACAATGCTAACAAATAACACTGAAGCGAGCATCATTGCCACATCATGGTGCAATCTAAGAGAGTAAATTCTGATAATTAGAATATTTTGCAAACCATGTGAGAAGTTGATGATTTTAATACAATGAGGAGTGCTCACTGAATTGATTTAGAAACATACATGGTGGGAATTGGTGAGCATTGCAATCGTGCTTTAAAAAGTGACATTTTTTATTATGAAATTATTAATATTTTCATTACTATCACCTGAAAGCATCCTAGTCATGGAATAGGATATAATTATGCGTGGTTCTGTTCAACCATGATACAGAAACACAGTCTTTTGTCCCAGAACATTTGTAATATCTTCTGGCATGCAAACTGGAAAGATACTTTGCATGTATGTACATGATTTACATTACTGCACCTTTAGTCATTTGGGAGAGATGACTGTGCTTAGAGATAGAATATTCTGCATGGGAATACATTTTCTGACAAAAGTCAGAAGTTGCTTGATCTCACCATATGTTACCCTTTTTAAGATGAATATAAAAATACTTTGCTCTCAAGTATGCTGTGAAGAATATTTATTTAGTTTTAGGCAGTGCTTTGGAAATTCTATACTGTTAAAGTGACTATCTTATTACTTATATCAAAGAAAATCTCAATTTAAGTATTCATCTTATTAGGAATAATTTCCTATTTAATTCCAGTCAACTTCAAGAGAGAAAAAAATTACAGTGAAAAAATGTAAAAAAAGCACTTTTCAGCAGCAGCTCTGAGCTGAAGTCTAAAAAATGGATATTTGCAAGAGAAATGTAGTTACCAGTGCTAGACGCATCTGGGCCACTATGATTAACAACACTGCTTTGTAGAAAGGGCCAAGTGATCTGTAAGTGGTCAGAGCCTCGGTTTTCTTTTTCAACACACTCAAGAAATATGTGAGTAAATTAGTTGAGTAGATATTCTGAGAGAAGAACTACCTACTGAATCAGCAGCAACACTTCCTGTGGCATGCTGCATTTCCTTTGGTATCTCCTCCAAAAGTTGACCAAACTCATTTTTGCTGTCAAAATACTATCCCAAGACGGAAAGGCCTCATTCTGTTCCAGAATAATACAAATGTGTTATATTATGTAAAAGTAATGTTGCATATTACAAAAGACAGTTAATAATATTGTTGAAAGAAATCACGCTTCACTTAGTCTGTACTTCATTTATTTATTGTTCCTTTACAATGAAATTTCACACTTTTAAAACATCATTTCCAATTTGATTTGAGGCCCAGCTGTCAGAATACTGTAAAAAGAGGAGGTTTTTTTCCAAAGTCTGATTCATTGATTTTTTTCCACTCTGCTCAGTCTTCTTCTTGCATACTATTTTTAGGTCTTCATGTGGATTGCTTTGGCTTATATCAGTGTTTGAGAAGCAGTTGAATATCATTTAAATAACAGCATTCACACAGAGAATCTGTAGAAGAAAAAAGTAATTTAGTTTTGATATAGTTTTTATTTTTCTGTTTGTAAAGTTTCTCATTAATGTGTAAAATGTGTTTGGAGTATAGATTTTCACATAGCAGAAATACTGACACTTGTGAATATGCAAATTACTTTGGATTTATTCTTTCAGCTTTGAAATAGTAGTAAGTTAAAACATTACACATAATTTAACATATTAAAATTAATCTTGTAGTCTAAGATGGGTATTTAAGAAATCCAGTCATTAGCTTTAAAACAGCATTATCAGAAGAATTTAGATTTTTTTTTATTTTTCCATTTAACCTCTCTGTTGCATTCAGAATGGTTTGATTTAGACCAAACTATCTTTTCTGCTGGAAAATGGTTTCCAAACAGTAATTCTGCTTAGAAATAATATACCTTTTGTAAAGATCTGAATCATTTTGAAAGAAATTTGCAAGAAAAAATTACTTGAAACTTTCCATATTTTACTGTGAATAAATAATTTAACTAGATGTTCTTCTGAATAAATCCATATCGTTGTGCTTCTACTACTAGGTTTGCTGAAGCTAAATCTCTTGGAGAGAAAGTAAATGAAGTGAGAAATAAAATAAGTGAGTACATTTCAACTTCATTTTATATCAGTAGTTAATATAAAATCACAGCATTCAAAGGATGTGGGAAGTGATTCAATTTTCTAAAGAAATGAATCAATATATTGCTAAAATTTTGTCTACCGGTTTTGATTTTTACAAATAATCTGAAAAGCAAGATTGTTCTTTACTTGACAGATCATATGAAATTTATTGAAGGGAAAAATTAAGGTATTTACCTCATATTTTCTGAATTTTATTGTGGGATAAAAGGAACTAAAAAAATACCACATAGTGAAATCTTTGGATTAGGGTTGTATTTACCTCTATATTTATACAGCTTCTGGTACAAGAAGTTCTCAGTGTTGAATTACTGCTGTGCACAGCTTTGTAAGGACTAATTGGAGGGACTCTGTAGAGTGCCCAACTGGATAGCGCTTTCTATGTTTTTTTTGTTCTAGGGCCACATGTGGCCATACACCTTGCTTCCCATTAGCCTTCCAGTTTCAGAATATCCAAAGCAAAAAATCACATACAGACAAGTTCAACCCCAAGCAATCTTCCCCAATGCATTTACCAGTCTGTGGTGTATTCCTTGATGTTTTCTGAGTTAGTTAATTCCAACTCAGTAAGTGCTTTCCTGACAATTGGCTATCCAGCCTCTCCATCAAATGGAAAAGCATAGTTTCATGCTCTGGCCCAAAAGTCCTTGGGGATTAGGCCAATGTCCACCTGCATACGTACGTTCTGGTGAACCGAGTCTCCTCAGGCTTCCAGATACAGGCACAGAGGGCTGTGAGGGACTAGTTTTAAAGATAATCTAGCATCCACATCCAGTGGTGTAGCCTCTGCCCTAGATTTCCATCGCCTTCCATATCTCCCTTTGCTAGGAAGGGCTGGCAGACTGTATGAAAATTAGTGAGGCAGTGTCCTTGATCAGAATACAGTGTATATCAACAGTGAAGGGTGTCTATTGATGGTTTTCTTTCCCACCAACAAAGCTTTTCTTATCTTCTCATACCTGTATACCTTTGTAGACTAAGCTAAAGTGCAGTTCAGTTTTTCCATCCATCTTGCTTTGGTGTTGAATCAGCACTGGGCAGAAACTCCTTGCTAAGTAAGTGCCAGCAGCAGCGGTATATATTTGATGACGAAAGAGGAATTCAAAAGGGTTTTGAGGTGCCTGTGGGTGGTACCAGCACAGACACACACAGTGGAGTCATTGTCACCCCTTCTTGTTTCATAACACAGCTGATTGCTGGGAAAGGACAGAACTCTTCTCCTGGCAGTCCTGGTGGTTTCTACATACTTTCACCACAGCCATGATTATATTCCTTGTGGCCATGCATTGTAGCTCCTGCCAGATGCCCCTCCCAATGGTATACCAGAAGTCTCTTGGAGCTGTTATGCAGTATATTTAGAATTATGTCATCTGTGAGGAAAAAACCATACACAGACACCTGCAGGCACTGTCAGTGGGAAAAGGTATGATCATGAATTGTCAAATCATCTCAAAGTCCGCATGCTCCTTGTTTGCTTCTATCTCCCATATTTTGTCATCCGTGATAGAAAGCCCATGTAATTTCTTGGCCTGAATGAGTTGGGCTCAGCAATGGATGTCAAATTTGTTTCTCTTGCTGAAGCTGAAACCCATTTTGGAGCAGGCATAGTGCCTGCAATACACCATCAATAAACAGTTGGAGACAAGCTCAGCTTTCTCAGTGCCAGGGGCTGTGGTAATGCCACTTGAGGACAGGAGCCCAGCAGCCAATTGCATGCACCTTATACTTGCTGCAAACATCTTGGATGGCGAGCAAGTGCCTGCAGAATGCAGGAGGTGCTGCAAGAGATGGTGGGACACATGGCAGTCCTGAAGGAACCACTTGTATGGTACTGGGACATGACTTGGGTGGTCTGGAAGTCGCTTGGGATTTACAGGGCTTGGCAGTTCTCAAAACTAAAGTGACAGGTCAATGTAGATATAGCTTTGGAAGACTGTTTACTGCAATTAAAAGCATCAGTCTTAAAATTGTTTTCGGTGAAGTTCTTCGGTATTAGGCATGAAGCACTTAGTAGACTAGATTTGAGCAGCATGGCCAATACCAAAATCTGAGTGCATATTCGTATTCATAGAGCAAAGCAGAGCATAGTAGAACAAAACTGTAGTGCTGTGCTCTTGACAATGTTTACATGCCTCCTATAGGAAACCGTAGTACCTTGTAGACAACACGAATACTGAAAAGCTTAAAAAAACAAACTGGAAATATCTCTATAATTCTGAAGCAATGTTAGAAAAAATGGCACATTCTGGTTTTGTTTTTATGTTTAAAATGCAGTCGCAAGTTAAATGTTTTTGAGTTGAAAGATGAATTCTCCGTTTTTTCATTTCAGTAGTAAAATGGAAAAATAGTCTTTCCGTTTTGGCACCCAAACAAAATATTTTATTCATGTAGCCCAACCATATGAGCAAGAGATTCCATCCCCATTGAGTCCTTGCATAGATATCTGTCTGCAGATTTATGCAAATTACGCAGTTGTATGCTACTCTGTGGATGTTTAAAAAACACCAGTACAGACTTGAGAAGGATCATAGTCTGTACTCCTTCCTTGAATTCCTTCTGTGTAATTTTATGCCACATATGAAAATTTGTATTCTGGTTGTAGAAATATTGTATTTTATTCACTTATTCTTTTCTCCTTTCCAGGCTACTGTTGATCATAGTTGTCAATGAATCTGCCTATTAGCACTCCTCTAACAATGATTAAAACTTTGAATCAATATTTTTTTTCTGACTTCTCTGGGTCAGCCAATGCAAGAGTGCTGCTTTACATAGTTGAGCAGCCTCAAACAATTTTTCAGTTAAGTGTGGTTCATCATAGCGTGCATACTCAAAAGACCATTAAAGATGCCACGTAAGGTTGCTAGCCTGCCAAGTTCATACTGAAAACTTGATAGGAGGAATAAGAGTCATCTGTGGCCTGCAACTAGGTCTTTAATTTACTTTTTATTGTTGTTTTGGTTTTCTTAAGCATTCCTGGCTGCCTTTGCCCAGTCCAGAAGAGATTCCATCAATATCAGTTTCTGTTATTTCTAAACTACGCTTAATTGTATAAAACTATGCACCACAGAGGTCATAGGGGAAGCCACTTCATGCGATGTAGAGCCCATTTCATGCGGTCTGATTATATTCTGAGACATTGACAGCAGTTGGCTGTAACATATATGTCATAAATATCCTTTCATTTTGACTTTGGAAATACTAGAGTGTTTTGCAGTAAAAAGTACACAAAATAGTCCGAACACTACAAATACACTAGAATTTCAACAACACATTGGGACATTGGTGCTGAGCAAATAAATTTGCAGTAAATTTGTTTCCATAAAGGAAAGAGGATCAGCACAGATGCTTGAACATGCTTCTTTAATATATAGAAAAGCTCTGAGAGCAATTCTCAGTTTTAGAACTTACTGCCTAGTTAGTCTGCCAGAATTCAGTTTCATTAGTTCTGGACATCCTACCCAGCCTGTCGGTTTTCCTGGAGGCTGTTTAGGGGTCTGTGCTGAGGTGTCTCAATTCACCATCAGTCTTTTCTTGATTTTGTGATTATTTCTGTATGGCTGAGGTATTTGTGAAACGAGGCTGATGCTATAGTTCCAGTTAAGAAATTGAAGGCCCATAAACAGAGCAGTATCCTTGAGAATGGCTGGATCTATCTTTTGGAAAGCCTGAATGGAAACTGGGTGTTCACAGAGCTGTCACATGTGACATCTTAGCCTTAGGGACAAAGTCAAGCATGTCAAGGCTGCAGAACCAAGCTCTCCTGGCTTTTACTGCCTAAGCTTGCCTTCTGTCAACTACACTGTAGAGCCAGATGGACCCTTCATTTGGTTTATCATGTGCGCACCAGTGTAGCACTGAACGTTGCTCACTGACAGTGAAAGACTAGCCCTTGGTTATTTGCTGTATGGAAGCATTCTTAAAGTGCTGGTATATCTATTCAAATCTCTTTTAGCTCTGGATGTTCTTTTTCCCTCCTCTAATCACAGTCAAGGAAAAGCTTTGAAGGGCTTTTCAGCTTGCAGATGTGCTATTTTTTTTAGAGATGAGGATGGATGATCTGAGTTAGTGGTAGGTTTTTGTTTGTTTTTGGAAAGGAAGAGAAAGTAATTATTAATCAAAGCAGTTGAATAATTTAGTTTAAAAAGTAATTATTAAAGTGTATGCTTAACGCTGGTAGCAGTGAAAGAATTGTAACACCTCATTTTTGTTAGTATGGTGACAGATTCAATACATGCTCTTTACTCTTCTACAAGATGATCAGCATAGGAGATTAGGTTTACACTGCCATAATGCTCACCATGACCATCAATTTCTGCATGAGGAAACTGACTTTTATGGAGCAATAAGAGGACTTGTGGCAGCTAGTATCTCTGCATGGACAGTCTGGAAGTGACTAACTATTGCAATCTGGAAGCTGGCTACCCCAGACTTCAATAGTCTGTCATTAATCCAGTATGACAAGTTATCTCTTGACAGTGTAGTATCACTGATTTATAAGGTGATTCGCTGAGGTGTGGGGAACGTAGCTAATATGACTGACATAATAGATGGTTTTCAGAGAACAAGTTTTCTAAACGGCACTGAGGATATCAAAATGTAAAGGGTGTTGGCCAAAAATGTGCATGTTTATTCCAACTGCAAAGAACTGAGTTGCTATGCAGGCCTTGGATGACCCACAGAGGTAGGTTCATAAGCAACTTCAAGGAATGTCCAGGGCAATACTTTACAACAGAGTGCTGCTGAGATAGGGCATTGAGCTGACTGGAGTAACAGGAACTTTACTTCTAGGGTATGATTATAAGCAAAATATTTTTATCCCTATTACCAAGAACAGTCTGTTTGGAAGAATTCTGGCAGTAGGTTACTTCAAAATAAATTGCAAAGCAGCAAATGATTACAAAGAACTGTGAGTGCTGCCTCATTGGTAAATGAGTAAATATTGTTCCCATGAAAATTAAG